GAGATAATAACTTCTCATTTGTCTTTTCATGCAGAACTACCCGAGGAGGAATAATCTGACACAATTCTGCTAAAATGAGTTCATGAAACTTTGCTGGATATGCTATAGAATGGCCATGGGGCCAATCTCTAAGTCTGGTATATCTGAGGGAACATTAGGGAAGCCAGCAGGAACATGGTCCATCAGCAGCAACTTCACTTTGAAGTGCCACCTGAATTAGCTATGGTCTCTTCTTTGGCCATGACTTTGGCGCTCTGTGGAAGATATCTTCAGGAAAGCAGCATTAGAAATTTGTTAATCTTGAATTTTCTGACACAATAATGTTACTCTTTGCGATGCATCTCCTAACTCTGAATACTTCAATCTCGCATATACAGTCTGCCTTCTGTTTCATCTTGTTACATGTGAATTCACAGGGATCTATCCAAGGATTCAAAAAAAAAAAGGCATTTATTATATGAGTACATCTAACTAGTTTCTTTTCTGTATGGAGAATCTCCAACATGTAAAGTTGCAATGAGGAGGAAATGGGCCACTGCTCTTGTGGAGGACAGTGGAGAATCTGGCCAAAGTTTATCAAAGACTCAGTGAACAAAATAGTACTGCTTACATTGAAATAATTCTAAATATGATACATCTTAAGTTTGCTTCAAAGTTAAAAACAAAAGACAAACATGCTAGAATTTTCTTAGTTTTCACCTAAAATACTAAGCCAAATAGATACAAGAAATATGTAAATGTTTTGAAAGAGTACAGTGTAGAGGCAGATTAGATAAGTTTTTACATAAATTAGACCACAAATATTCTAGATTTATTACACTAAGAATATATAGAAGTTTACTTTCTCAGTAATGTTTGATCATATGGGCAGATCGTTAAGTCTAAGGGCTTCCTAAAAGGCACTTCAAATATCTTAAAAAGAACCTAATAATTTTACAACTTCTCATACTTGCTTCTTTAGAAAACTAAAAGTGAATAAATTGGAAATTTATTTTAAATCTGTTAATCTGACATCGCTATTTCATTACTTTTGAGTTGATGAAATCTGCCTCCAGCTAAGTGGTAATTGTTTTATAATGAGTGGAAATCAATTTTTCTTAGACATCACTAGAAACAAACTTAGCCAGATGCTGATTGTTTTGATAGCATGGTAGCACTCAGAAGCACACTTCGTAGAGGCAGTGGTAGATAGTATGTGTCATTAAGGCATTTATCAACTGTGGAAGTCAGAAGGGCCTGACATTTGCAGTCTAGACTAGAAAGGCCCTTGAGAAGTTTATTTATTCAGTTTTTTAATAATAGTAACAAATCTCTTGCTCTCTCCTTTCCAGCAGTCTTGGAATCTAAACCACCCAAATCCAAGCTCAGTCATTTGTTTGGAAATAGAGTAGACATTTGAATAACACCCTTCAAAATACCTAACAGATTTCTGCTAGTAAATCACTTTAGTCCTTCTAACCTTGACCTTTATATCCTTCCTGAAGAAGTACAGCATTAATCAAGAAAGGGCTGTTCAGTACATTCCACTGTGAGAGTCTTGTTGCTACAGTATTAACCTGGAGGTGTTCAGTTGAAAATTATAAGGAATCCTTAGAGTTGGAAAGTATCCTATTCTCATGATGCATTTCCTTTCCCCTAGGCCAGGTAAGGGGCTTTGATTTTCAGTTCATTGACATACACACAAACATCGCTCCAGGCTAAACCTAAAAATTCTCTAGAGATTTATGAGTTAAGCAGACATTCTGTCACTGGATTTGTTAATTTTGCCTGAACGTGGCCCCCACAACAAGAAGCTTGCCCATGCATCTTTCTGAAAGACATCCAGCCTTTCAGTTTACTCCTTGTATGAGTTATGTGAACTGACACACTAGAAAAGTGTGATTTACGAATGATATTGCCTACCACTGAGTAAATATTCAAACATCTACTTTCCTCAGTACTTCTATGATAAGAAAATACTATTAATTTTTAATTAATGCTTATTGAACTGCACACCATGAAAATAAGTAGTCTTTATTAATTGCTGAGAAAAATCTCTATAAACGCTGGACTGTAATTCCGTTTTGGGAGTTTGCATTTTCTTAACTCAGTTTGGTTTGATGTGACAGTGACATTACCTAGCTGGAGTTCAGGCCTTCTTAATGCCTCTATACAATGACAAAGAAATACAGAGGATGTCTTAATAGAAATGAAAATCAGGATGACTTCTTTAATAGGGCTTTTGTGGAATATGGTATTTAATGAATCTAATGGGGAAAAAAAGAAAAGGAAGTCAGCTCCCCGGAAAAGAGGCCTAAATCAGAATTCCCTGAAACATTAATATAGTTCTATTTACTAAACCACAACGACAACTGCTGTAAAAAGAGTGACCTCTGCTACCATCTACTTAAGTAAAAAATACTAAACTACCTAAAAATGTTTTGTCGAACACTGTTGTCTGTTTTCTGTCCCTTGCTCTGTTTTAGTCGTTTTACAATAGTGTATAATTGTCCCATTGTTTACAACCATAGCTATTCTGAACTATATTAATACAACACACTTGATTTTTGATACATAAATATTTTAAATCTCTTCTTAGAATGACTGGATGTATAATTTTTTAATTTTGACTACTGAGAGGAAAAGTAATGCTCTGACTTGGTCTAGGAGTTTCACATTTGATTTGTTTTGTTAGCCCCAGTGAGAAAATTGTAAAGGAATTTAGTAAAAGCATACACCATTCTGTGAAGTCCGATGCTTTGGTGGGCTAAAGAAGAGCCAGCCAGGCACATTCGTTAAAGTTCTTTTATATAAAACAGTGGAGAGTTGAGGGACAGGGCCTAAGGAGAAAAGTACTTCCCTAGCCCTACCACAAGAACTGCCACTGAGAAACAGAGGGACTATGCAAAGCTTTGAAACACTCTGTAGCACAAAGACTTTGTTTCAATTGCAGCTGAAGCAAGTTTAAACATCTGTTGCTTGTTAGATTATTATTTTTTTTATTTGCTTATTTATTTATTCATTTAGTTTGGGATGGGTTGAAGAAAGCCATTTTAGACTCCCTATGACCATTAAGCTGGGATGGAGAACAGAGGTCTGAGTGTTTCTAAAATGTAAAGCTACAAAAATTTTGGTTTTAGCAAGGAACACTTGCTTTTGGTGTTTATTTTTTTTTCTCCCACTGAAAAAGCCTGCTGAAACTTCTGCTTTTGTGCATCTTTATTGCAATTTTTAGTACGCTAGCCAGAACAGCTTAGAGCACCTGAGAACTGGTTGTATTGCTGCACTGCATCTTTTGTTTTCAGATATTGAAATATCTGAATTTGGGTATGTCTAGAAGAGGAGAAAGAAGAGAAGATGGATCAAAAAACTGTAACTAAATGACATGTGGAGGACAGCATGATGCTGTGTCTTCTTCATTTTCTTCTGATCCTTATAACTTTTCATGAGACTTCAAAAGACTTGTTCTGTCTGCAAAATGCCAAGCCAAACAGTAGCCCATGAACATGCTACCCTTGGGATTTAGCAGAGTGCCAAGTTTAAATACACATGGTAGATAACCATTTCTGACTGTCTCTGTGTCTTCATTTTCCATGCAAAGGGAAGAATGCGCAGCACAGTGTGTCGGCACCATTTCACACTGAACCAGGGCAAGTCAGGGAGACTTTAGAATCTGCCATCTCCACATAAAACCACATTTCACTGCACTGTTCATATCTTCTGGTGGGTGACCACGGCCTTCCCTCCCTGAGGAGAATGAATACTACCTAATCTGAAAAGTTCACATACAGGTTTCTTAGAATGCTATCACTCTGTCACACACCTGGACTTCTCTGGATCTCTCTTCCCCATGGCATGGGGCGGCCCAGTTCTAGTTCCATTTCCATCTGAGGAACCATTTCCGACGACGGCTTAATGTGGATAGGGGGGGAAACTCCAGCGCCAGGGGTTTCTTCAGGTCCTGAGCCTGGAGGGGAGAGGTGCTCTCCCCTCCTCCCACCCACGTGGCTCCATGGCAGGCACAGAGACAGGACCCCGGGTGTGGAGAGGAGGCAAGAGAGAGTTTATTGTTGGGGGGGTTACATTTATAGGGTTAGGAGGATTCACAGAGTAACCAATTACAAGTCTCAAGGGGCTTACAGGAACACCCAGTCACAGGAAGGGGTTAACAAGGTCCAATGAGAACACCTTAGGACATCTTCCCAGGACATTCCTGCATGGGAGACAATAGTCCTTCACAGGGGGTGTTGGGAAGAAGAAAGCATGAGTTAGCAAAGAGACTACAAAAAGCCATTTTGAAACATGTTTAAACCACAGTTTTCTCATATACTGCAGATTTCCTGCCACAGACTTCCTTATTGAAGAATTTGGCTCAAAGTCCTGCTTACAACCTATATAAAATATATATATTTATGATATATACACCTATAAAATTACAGTAATCTGATTTTGTGAACAAGATCATCAAGAATATAGCTAGTGAGTTATCCATAAAACCTCTCCTAGGTGCTCTGCAACTATTATCCCTATATTTTCTTTTGATCTCTTTGTAATCAGTTATGAATCTTGACACCTCTGCCAGAAGAAAACATTTGCAACATCCTTTGCCAAGAATAAAGTAAATATTAAGTAAATATTAAGGATTTCCATTTTTATTTGCTTAATTAAATACTTCTTTGCATAATTCTTCCATAAAAGCCCTCATTAGACAGACCATTCAAGCCACTGTCTTAATCTTAAGAACATAGTACCTTGTGGTACTCTTTATCTACTCAAATAGTGCAGCCCTGTGCAAAACTGTTTGCTTCTGCCCTTCACTTTGAAACTTCTGACTCTAGCAAAACCCAAATCCTCTTTCCCATGGTGTCTCAATGCCCAAACTCTTTTCTTTCCAGTAGTTAGCTTCCTTGTTCCACATTCTTTTCCAAAACACACATACACACACAGAAGGATGCATTACTTAATTATTTAATCCATTTTCTGAAGTGTTCAGTACTGAAGAAAACAATGCATGTAGAAATACAAGTGTACTGGCACAGGTCAATGCCAAGAACAATTTTTAAAGTAGGGTGAGTTGGACTGCATCACTCAGAAAAACAGTAACAGGATACAGAGCATTTTTCATTAAGTAGTTGGTTTGCATCCAGCTAGATTAGTATGCTGGAAAATGGTTAACCTTTGATGGTTGCTCAGCAGTGTATGTTAAACAAGCTGAATCTCTATATAATTGCTGGATGACAGGTAGCCACATTGCTGCAGTTGGGAAAAATCTGTAACCCTGATCTTTCTACAAACTGAACAGGATCAAAGGATTGACCCTTTCCAATCTGACATTTTTGTGCTATAACTGCATAAACCAGCAAAGGATGAGATAAAGGATTAGGACAAGACTACTGTTTTTAAGGACTATCATTCTGCATGTTTTGCTCACTATAAAGCAACTGTTTAGAAAGAGCAAAAATATTCACAAACTTTACCACAAGGCAGGCTGTATTTTAAGGCACTTCTCTTACAAATTGACAAAAAGGTTAGAAAGTAACTCTAAAAAATCAAAAGGAGAGGGGAAAAAATGAACTACCTCCAGATGATTGTTTTGTCTAATGTATACCACATAAATCCCCAATGAAGGCAAAGTCCAGTTTTTGTGTTGCATAGTATCTCGTGTTGCCGGCTGCAATTTCAGTCCCTGATGGTATAGCCAGGACCAGTCTTAATTTATTAAATAAAAACTTGCATGGATGGAATCTCTCCTATATGAACTCTGTCAGACTGACTTTATCTACATTATTCAAACATAGGACTAATGAATAACATTCCTGGCATTCTTAAAGTAAGGACTGTTACTAACATGCCAAGAGATGCAGAAGCAATGTTTTTGGTGTAGTAATAAATAATAAAGCTTGTACCCCTATTGATACCAAATCTGCAAATTTTCATTGGTGTTGTTTGATTCTCTCCATCACTTGAAGTTTGGTGAATTGTTTCATAGTCTTTTACAAATATTCCCTGGAGATAACACAGAACATAGTAAAGCAATGAAACACGGCATGATAATATGCACACACCAAAATTAAAACAAAAATTTAGAGCAGTGAAAATCCCAATTCTATTCCAAATCTAACTTCAGCTCCTAAAGTATTTTCTAATATTGCACTACATAATTCTATATCACTGGTGTCTTGACATCTGTGGCTTAACACCACTTATTTAACCAGTTCATAGCTCATCTCTGCTCTGAATCATCTTGGGAAAATAAAACTGCCATTAATCTTTCCTCAGAGGTAACTGTTTCTCCAGTGATGACTCAACATCTGTCAAAAAAGAATAAATTAAACATTTATTTTTTTAATGACATGATAGGGGACTGTCCTAATGGCCGGTGCCTGCTGTTAAGTCAGAGTGACAGTGGAAAACAGGGATTTCCCTCCCTGAACTTGCATGTCTTTGTTAGTGTCACCATCCAATGGACTCCAACAGTCGAAGACCCTAAAACACAGTTCCCATTAATAAGCACAATACATGGTGATTGTGGAGCTCCACAAAGTGGAGCAGACAGATCTACCCAAACTTGGCATGACTTAATATCTGACTAACGTGCCTGGAATCTACAAAGACCCTTCCAGAGCCAAGTGTTGAGGACTAGTCAGCCATTTCTAATGAAAAATTACATGAGGTCTCCATCTTATAACCTACTAGCTAAAATAGTTGAAGTCCTTCTTCAAGTCTTTCATCTTTCTGAATTTCACAAAAACTCCTGCAATCAGGGACTCTCACTCTCATGAATTATTGAATAACATACCATAGAGTAAGTCTCTTATCTTTAAATTCTTTTATTTTGTATACACAAAATACTCATTAGCTCTTGAACTAACCTTGCATACCTCAGATGAATGGCCTAGAGGGTTATCAGGTAGAGAATGAATAAACATTTCAGGGAGAATATAAGATTTTAGGGTGAAGCTTTAAAATGCAATGTTTTTCTCTAGCAGTTGCACAGAACATAAGCAAGATGCTTCCTCTGTGTATCAAGTATTCATAAGCTCTAAAAGAAATTTAGCTACCAGAACCATGCAAAACAATGCCAAAGGTGTGATATAAAACACACAGCATACAACAGGTGAAACTCAGTGTGTTTTTCAACACACCTTCAATGACGTGCAAGTATGACAACACTCCACTGTGTTCAAAGACCACATTTTCTTTACATTTGTAGCATTCATAGTCTCTATTTATGCTTCAACTATTAAAAAACTATATTTTGCAAAAATTTCTATGAAGGCAATAGCACTTAGAATTCCCCTTAGGGATCTGATCTATAAGTGATTCTATGCCACTGTGTATGGGGCATGTAAGGACTCCTTGATATTTGATAGTCAGTTATTTACATCATTTAAGTTATGCATGTGCATAACTCCCTTACTGAATACATGCTGTTTTGATCTTGGTTCTACATAGCAATAAGAGCAAATCAATAGCACAACACTTTATCTAAGTATTCCACACATCTATAGCATTTTTCATCAAACAATCTAAGAGCAAGAAATAACCCTTTGCAGTCATATTTGTAAAAACACAAATATAAATATATGCTAATATGAAATAAGATAAGATTTCCCTGAAGGTGTTAAACATGCTTTGGATGGAAAATACTTTTGCCTTTTTCAGCACTCCCCTATCTATTATACTGCCTTGAGCTGTGTGTTCCCTATGACACGACACTGACTTGGGAACCACTATCACCACAGAGCAAATACTCTGAGGCAGCTGCTGTGCAACAAAGACTGAAATAGCAAAGATGTAAGTCAGTCCAAAAGGACTACATGGAGGGTCAATCAGCCTCAGGCAACAAGTAAAAGATTGTGAAGAGCATAAAATAAAACTGTCACAGGATTATTTTTTCTAGTGATCTATCAGAACTGAAATAAATATCTGGAAACAATACTCTGACTATGGTTTCCATGAAGCCTAAGACTTCGAGATCTTGTGTAACGTGCCACAAATAGCAACAGACATGCAAGATAAAAACTGAAATTCTGTCTTTTGGAGGACTTTCTAATCTCTTTAGATATGCAAAGAACCTATGTCTATTTTTGTAAACAGTGACTTCAACAATCAGAGACAGTTATTGGTGACTTCAAGAGAGCCAAGACTGCTATCCTACTTGAATAGAAAAACTGTCTAAAGAGAACTGGCATTCCACTTGCTTCCTTACAGATCTGGATTTTATGGCTTGTCACCACTGAAGAAATAATTTATATATCTGGATAAAATTTAGTGAAATACAATCTTGCAAACACAAGGTTCAGGTTAAAAGCCTGCACCACTGCTCGGAATGCTACAGATACCATGCTAGCTTGAAGAATGGCTCTCAGATTTAAAATACTTGTAGCTTTACGTTGTCTTTTATGGATCTTGCACTTCCATAGTAGGGAGTATTGTAATTTTTTTTGTAATTCTGCTTTTACAGTTCGCTTTAACTTGTAAAATGCTACTTGATTCCATGCATTTCCCTTTAAAACACACAATAGCGAACCTTGCTGCTTGTCAGGAAAAGGCAAATTCATTAAATTTAAAAATTTAAAAATAAAAAATAAAAATTAAAAATAAAATGCTTCAATACCTTAGAATTTTCTTTGATAAAAGACAATTTCTCGGTTAATTTATACCACATCTACAGAAGACTCAACTGAAATTTTAAATAAAGAAGTTTTGCTCTTTTACTAATTTTTCACAAAAACCTTTCAGAATGATTTCTACCACTCCAATAACTTAGCGTTCTCAAAAAACCCTACTATGAGTCAGTAATAGAAACAGATTATATTTTCCCCCAGCAGTCAAATTTTCAGGTGAATGTCACTACTGTAATTTGATTCCAATTTGTACATATCTTCTTCAATAAAAAAAAGAAACACCCCCACTTTTCCTTTCAAACATATGATTGGCATATTTACTGCATAATTGCAAACTACTATGGTGGTTTCAGATGTTATACCCCTGCACAGAAATGATGGATTAGCCTGCTCTTTACTTGCTTTGAGGTAAATGTTGCCTCTGCCCCTTTTTATTCGATTAAAAACTGCAAAATTGTTCTTCCAATATGTGTGAATTTACATTTTACCCCACTTCAAATGTTTATATATGAGCACAAATATATATGCACAGCAACCAAAATAGTAGATTGATTCAATACAAAATGCATAATGAAATGGAACTGAAGGCAAATTATGTATTCACAAAATGTCACTGTGCTTCACTGCATGTTACTAAATTAATATTAAAAAGATGTAAACCCCAAAATCCCAGTTTTCTTAACTCATGGTAAAACATAGTATAAATGGATAAAGGATGTTAAATATGGTCTTCCTTCCACATCGCCTAAGAAAACAGAAAATAAAAGGAAAAATGGCAGTAAAAAGTTTAGTACAAACAAGACCCTAAAAGTCTATACTGAAGGGCTTCTGGAAAAACTAACAGGTGCTATCAACACAAGACAAAAATATTTTGACTCCACAGGAACTGTAAAAAACAAGAAAACTTCTGAAACATTTGACATTCAAGTGCAGCCAAAAGCAGCTTCAAAGTGCTTTTTGGCTGGGTCATCAAATCTCACCATAAACATGCAACAGATTTGATGACACTGAATTCTGCATCCATCAAAAATCATTTCTTCTGGACTGATCAAGTCTCATCCCCTTAGCATAGCAAGGAAAATGGGCTTCAGAACAAGAACAGAACCAAATTGAGCACATGGTCTTCTTTCCTCAATCTCTCTTGCCTTTTTGTCCTTCACAGGAGAAGTTAATATTACTGACAGAAATGAAGTGGGGAAATGCTGACTGGACAGGAGAGAAGGTACTAGGCACAACAGACTGTGGGTGTAGGTGATGACATGTAAAACCACAGCACCAAGAAGGAAGGGGAAAATAGTTCTGAAGGTTTTGTTGGTGTTTGGGAATATCCTACTTACCTACCCCAAGAACTGATGTACAGTGGGAGGAGCCATGGACACTAAAAAGACCTTATTTTGCTCCTTATAGTAAGGTAAACAATAAAAAGGTCTGGAAAATCAGTTAGAGTTGACTAATGTTTGTGCTTTTTGTGAATGGAAGCATGAAGACCTGAGATAGGAATTCAGAATCTCTGTTGCACTGAAAATAAAAGGAAAAAAAGTGGGAGTGTTGCAGAACAAGCTGCCATGAATGTGTCCCTTTAGAACTGCTGCAAGAAAAAATTAGAATCCAAGATGATTTTGGACACTGGAGGTGCCTACCTCAAGAGGAAAAATCCATTTTGGGCACCTGATAATAAAGAAGTGATGCTGTACCTATGGCAGTCTGCACAGGGGAGAATCACAGGTCAAACTTGGAAGTCTTGAAAAGAGACAACAGACAAATATATGTCATCAGTCAGGAATTAGGTGTAGTGAAATACTTTACAGGAAAAGGAAATATAAGACCCACTAAAAAAGAATATGAACAGTTAAACAGTTGCTGAGCCAATGAATTATTAAAAAAAAAAAAAACACATGACAAAAAGCCCTGAAAACAATGAGATTCACACTTGTCAGGAGAAAGGCAGTTCAACTTCTAGCTAATCTCACTCAGTAATGTAAAGAGTCTCCATTCCATAAGTTTTTCAGTAATCTGTAAAATTCATACATTTTCCTCTTTTTTTTTTTTTTTTTACATGCCCATTTCCTTCAATGTCCATGATAACATATTCCTCACAGAAGCTTTTGGAACATCATTATCCAAAAGGCACATCTGTATGTTTCCATTCAAAAGGTTTGGCATTAGTCCCTCTCATGCTTCACTACACGGTACAAGCTGATGTGATTTCTGCTCATTGCCAGAACTGCCAAGACACATGTGCATGTCAAGTGCCCATGTTCTCTACAGCATTTTCCAGTTTTCCCACACTTTCCTGCTATTGTAGATAACAAGGATATCTGTGAACTCCTGCCTTTGCTAAAAGGCATCACTTCACTCCTACTGTATGACTCCTACTTATGCTGCCTCTGCAAGCCCTTATGATCATTTTACCCCAGTCCACAGCTGGCACTGGCAAAGCAGCCCAGCTGGGACATAACAAACTTCCATCCATGCTGCTTTTTCGATCAGATCTACTCCTCAGAAAGGTCTCTGTCTGTGTTCTACTTACGTTCCTTTAAACACAGTGTACGGAAACATGAAAAGCTGTAAATGTCAGCTTCTCAAAGATATACAGAATAGCTAAAAAAATCCTGCAGACTCTAAAGCCTCTGATAATTTTAGGACAGCCTGCATATAAGACACTTATTTTTTCCCGGAAATAATGTCAAAGAGGACAGTGTTAGGGCTCTGAGTGCACCCACCTTTAACAAGTTTAGATGGCTCAATTAAGGAATCTAGTTTGTCAAGTCCAAAGTTAGCTCTTCCACTAATAAGAGCTGTTATAAAGATAGCTAGAAAAAAGGTCCTGACCTTCCTTTCCTCCTCCTCCTCCTCCTCCTTCTAAGCAGTCTTTACTGTTGGTCCCCTGTGTCTGCACCTGGCTGGATGCCCTCCTAACCTTGACCCACAAAAATTGGCTTGGCATCCTGGCTTGCCTTAGGACCTGCCACCTCACTGAGGCCAGGTGATCTCTGGACTATGCCTGACACTGAGGTCCTGATCCTTACCCTCGCTCCTCCTTAGCATCATGGCTTCTTGTTGGTGAGGCTACTTTTCTCACCTGCCTTGATACCATGCTCTGCTCCAGGCTCCCCTTCCCTTTTGGAGTAGCTGGCCCTTGCTGTTCCCTGAGAAGCAGCAACAAGCTCCCAACAGTCCTTTCAGACATGCAATGGCATAATTTCAGTGAAATACATAAAACTTTCAGATGAGAATGGACTGTAGCTATGGTATTTAAATATACTCAAGTTACAGCCTAAGATGTACAGTGAAGGCAGACACATCAACCAGAGACCTATTTTCCTGTTTACGAATATGTGATCTAATGTCATGCTTAGCAAACTCCCTCCTTCTTGGACTGTCTCCTCTGCCATTTAATCAGTATCACCTTTAGGAATTTTTCAGTCAAACTGTCTCAGCTACTGCCTACAGTAAGACTATAAGATGAGCTGGAACACCACAGCCTCTCCCAGTGTCTTACCTGGAGGTGTTGGTTGACAGCCAGTTGAACATGAGCCGACATGGTGTCCAGGTAGCCAAAAAGGTCAGAGGCGTCCTGGCTCGTATCAGGAATAGTGTGGCCAGCAGGACTAGGGCAATGATTGTCCCTCTGTACTTGGCACTGGTGAGGCCACACCTTGAGTACTGTGTTAAGTTCTGGGCCACCCACTGAAAGAAAGACATGGAGGTGCTGGATCGTGTCCAGAGAAGGGCAAATGAAGCTGCTGAAGGGAGCAGAGCACAAATCCTATGAAAAGTGGCTGAGGGAGCTAGGGTTGTTAAGCCTGGAGAAAAAAGGAGGCTCCAAGGTGACCCTGTCACTCCCTATAACTACGTGAAAGGAGGTTGTAGCCAGGTGGGTGCTGGACTTTTCTCCCAGGCGATCAGTGACAGAATGACAGGACATGGCCTCAAGTTAAAAGGGGAGATTAAGATTGGATATCAAGAAAAATTTCTTCACTGAAAGGGCTGTCAGGCATTGGAACGGGCTGCCCAGGGAAGCAGTGGAATCACTGTCCTTGGAAGCGTTCAAAAAGTGTGTGAATGTGACATTTGGGAATATGGTTTAACAGTGAACACGGCTGTGCTGGATTAACGGTTGGACTGGATGACTTTAGAGGCCTTTTCCAACCTTACCAATTCTACGATCTTATTCCAACCTCTCCCTCCTAGGATGAAGGGCAACAATCCCCACAATACGACAAGTGTCCCCAGCCAGCCTGTGGGGCTCTCAGGAGGACGCAAGCCCACGGCTGGGACCGCGGCGAGCCCACCTTCCCCTCGGGACCAAACGCCCCGCGTTTATTTCCTCACTGAAGCACCACATCCCTCCCGCTTCCACGGACCCCCGGATCCCCGGCTCGCCCCGCCCCTCAGCGCGGCCTCGCCCCGCGCGCCGGCCCCTCCCACCCGGAGTCACCCACACGCCGGCCATTTAAAGGGGCCATAGGCACTGTCCCCCGGTTGTCCCGCTGTGTGCCCGCTGTCATTCTCCCACGGTGCTCCGAGCGCTCCCCTGCCGCGGCCCAGGCTCATCCCGCAGGACTGCCCGCACCCGGCGGAGCCGCTGTGGGGCCTCGCGTAGCGCAGTGTGGGCGAGGAGTAGGGCCCGGTGTGCGCTGGGGGCAGGCGAACGGGAGGGCGCTGGATTCTTTGGGTCGCGGACGTCGCGGGCGAATAAAACAGGCGGGCGGTTGGTTGGTTGCGCCGTTCCTGCCGCGGGGGGCGCAGAGCAGAGGCGCCGCGGGACCCCGCGCAGATGGAGCCCGGCGGTGTGTCGGTGTCTGCCGTGCTGCCGGCGGGCGGGAGCGGAGAGCGCCTGGGAGGCGCCACTCCCAAGCAGTTTTGCGCCGTGCAGGGGAGGCCGCTCGTCAGCTACGCGGTGCGGGCCATGGAGAGGTAACGAGGCGGCGCCGCCCGGCTCCCCGACCGCGCCCCGCCGGCCCCGGCCGGCCCTCGCCCTGCCCCGGTCCCTGGAGAGCCGCCGGCAGTCGCGCTGCCCTCGCCGCAGGCCCTGGGCGGGTCTGGTTTGCGCTGCGGTGTCTCCCCGTCCTTCCCCGCCCGGTTAGACCGTGCAGGGAGCAACACCGGGGCAGGGAACGACTGGCCCGCTCATCTGGGCACAGGTACCAGGCGGGACCTGGGCGCTTCCCCCAGCCCAGCCTGGCCCCCGAACCGCCATCCCGGGCGGCTCTGTTCTCCCCCCACAGCCCTGCCCGTGCCTCGAAGCTGTGGTACATTCCATGGATGCCGGAGATCATGGGTTCGAGGCCCCTTCAGCCTCGAAGCTCGAGGGTTGCTGTAGCTGCAGTGGCTGGTTTGGTGAACTGCGAGCCGACTGCAGTTGCTGGAGACAGTCATAATGCTACTCATCAGCCTTGAGAAAAGATCTGTGCTGCCACAGCCGTTGGAGATGGTCCTTATAGTAGTGTCCAGAGGCCTCTAAAAAAGATCCACTCCTCATGGTGAGGCAAGTGTACTCAGTGGTGTATAGATAGCACTGCATTGTGCTTCACCACTGGCCATGGTAAAACACCTTGCATCAGCAGGAGGCTTAAAGCAGAAAGGTTTCTTTAAGTCATAGTTGCTGGACTGGAAGCATATGTAGCATGAAGCCGCACATGTAACTTTTCTATGGCTATGTTGTAGTGCTAGGATGAGAAATAAAACGTACAAACTGAAAGGGGAATTTTACATTAGATATTAGGAATAAATTTGTCATTCTTAAGGTGGTAAGCAGGTTGCCCAGGGAGGTTGCGGATGCTCCAGCCCTGGCAGTGCTTAAGGCCAGCTTGGATATGGCCTTGAGCCACCTAGTCTAGTGGGAGGTGTCCCTTGCCATGGCAGGGTAGTTGGGACTAAACGATCTTTAAGGTTCCATCCAATCCTTAACATTATGTGATTCTGTGTTGGAGCAAAGGATTCAAGTAATGGGATCTATTAGCAGCCAGGGTTTTTTCCTTTTCATAAGGCTGTTGAGTTCTAGGCATGTGACTGACAGTTAATATATCACTGTCAAATGTTAATATAATGTAAGTCTTTTATGTAGTGTCACGTGAAACACAGTAGGTAGGAGTGGATTCTGGATGTGTTGCAGTAACTTTAGGAAAACAAACCTTTAGGTTTTTAGAGAGGATAAATGGGGAGGAGTGGAGATTGGTGCAAGAAATGAAATTGCTAGCATCTCTCAAAGTTCTTAACTCATGGAAACTTGTAGAACATCAAAATTGTGACTCTTTTTCCATTCCCACCCAGAGAGGCTTCCCTCAGGTCACTTGTTACTTTATGAAAGAAATATTTCTTGTTTATGTAATTTTCAACAGCAGCCAGTCACAAAGGTAAGCTCATCAGTAAGCAAAACGTCCGATCCAAAACTTGCCACAGCTGTAATTTCTGCCAAAATGTCATGAGAATCTGCAGAGAAGAATAATATCCTCCCTCACTGTATTGGAAACCTGGAAGTGAGAACAGAGTGAGGTTTGGGAAGGAAATGATATTCATGGAAAAATAAGTAGTATTCATCTAAAAAACCCCTTTATATTTACTACCAGTAGGCTCTGATAAAATAGCTGCACTTCGAGCAACAGAATTATATTTATGTCCTAAAGCTGCAAAAAATTAGAAGGTTGAATTCTAACTGTACGGTCCAGCCAAGCTGATTGTGAGAGTAACAACTTGGTGCTTTTGCTTAGTAGTGGAATAACCACTGCCAGGGCTCTGACAGGCAGAGCTTCCTGCCATCTCTAGTGAGCTGGAGCGTTCAGTAGGCTGTTGACTGGTATAGATGTGTATGAGGAGCTGGGAACCCATGTACTCCAAAGCTTGGAATGGCTTTCACTTTCATCTCAACGCTTTCACTTCCGGCTTTGAAACTCCAAAGGAGGTACCTTGTTCTTACTTTGTGAGACTGTAAGAGCAAAAATGTGATACTGAGGAACTGCAGTTTGTCTCATAATCCGTCACCCAGAAGTGGCAGGTTTTCTGTGTAGAGCTTGATACTGTCTTCTGATGTTTGTTGTTGACCTGATGTAATTAAATGAATCATTGACCCATTAGCCTGTAATAAGTTCTGTTGAACTGATTACCTCAGCTAATGCGGCTATTTTTAAGCTTTTTTTAAATCTGGAATAAAGGTAGTAATATATAGACAAATACGTGAGCAGTTCAAGGATGTGCAGCTGCTTTGCATGTGCTTTTTAAAGGTTGGTAGAAAAAGATCTTTATGCTGTTCAGCTGAAAGCGGTGAGAATCTTAAATATCGATGTGGAAAAATGGGCAGATGAGGCAAGAGCAGACATGAATGAATAAGCAGTGCATCCTGTTGTGTAGAATGATAGCATGTAGAACACTGGCCTGCCAATAGTAATCATAGATGATGCCCTTAGGAGAGGAGGTGAGCAAAACTAGTTCTTTTTGTCTGATTATCATTAGCTTATTCTTGAAATAGCTTATGAGCTAAAAATAATGGTAGCAAACTTTATGAACGTATCTTTGTTTGACTCATAAGGAGCATTTTATTTCTGGAAAAAATGAATGGCTTCTGTACATAAGATCCTCAAAACTTCCTTAATATACCAGACTTAAAAGCTTCCTGCTTCCGTTTTTGTACTGTAAAGGATACAGTTTTTCATATACCAATAAAGTCATAACAGAGCTGCTATGGAGCAAAAGGAAGTTATGCTTGCATTCTGCAAATGCATGTTGTTCTTGATAGTTCTTCTTCTAATTTGGTGTTTGAATAATAAGACCAGCAAAAGTGATATGATGATTTATCTTACACCTCTGAAGAGTTTCTGTGGCAGTGAAAGATCCTGTACAACACTGCTAAAGCTGTCTCAGCAGTGACTGCCTGGTTCTGGCCTTGTTTTGCTGATTTTGGTATATTGTATTGAATAGTTTGTTACTGGCAGAATGAGAGTTGCAAGAGATTGAGTGTGAGCATTTAAGCCTCATGTCAGATTTCAGGCTCAGTACTGATTGGATGTGAGTGAACTGACTGAGGGCTAAATAGTCACATTGATACCTCAGCATGCCATTTAGGTGATACAGTTTCAAAGTGGTTTTATTTAATTTCTGCAGCTTGTGTTGAGAAGTCATGTAATAACTTTATCTGCTGCTGAGTTAATGAACTCCTTTACTTTGAGTTCTAGGTGGACTAATATAAATGTTTGTACTTTTTTTTGAAACTTAATGAAATAATACTATTTTCCAGCAGGCAGTAAGTCTGTTTGTAGGTGATGACGAGAAGTATAGTTGCAGAAAACAAACATATAGTACTTTTCTGCTTCATTGTTTTCCTTCTGCTAGTATTTAGGTCTTCCTAAGGCAGTTTTAAAGTGATTATAACTGGAGTTGTTGTGTTTCATCTGGTCAGACCTGATTTTCCACTTAGAACTACAGCCTATGTTGTATGGAAGCACTGGAGTTCTGTATTGTTTAAACAGATTGGGGTACAGTATTATGATCTTTTTCATACATTGTGCTGATTCTTGCTGAAACTTGTGTTATCTTGATCTAATATTACAGTTATAAAATTGAAATGGTGTTTTTAAATTGAATTTGAGCAGGTCCTGAGCTGCTTATTATTTTAGTGTGAAATCTTTCTGAAGAAGATGATGTGACAAATTGAGGGAGGAAAAAAGGATTCATTTACTGACAGATTGAGTGTATACTGATAACTTTCTATTTTGTTAAAACATTTGCAACATTTCCATAAGCAGATCTTTAAAGGAGCAAGCACCCGTGTGATGCACTGTTCTTATTCATTAAAATTTGTAGCATACTTTACTGGATTAGTGCTTTCCATGAGTTTTGGTGGGACAAAACCCAAGCTGTTCTGGTACATAATCAGTCCAGTGGATGACTTTATACTCTCATATGAATAGGTTACATCCCTAAATCCCAACTCTAACTGTAGAATATGAGTCTGGAATGAATTTAGGGAGGACATACTCAAGTTTACAAATGTGTTTATGCAGACACAGGGTGGAGCTGTGACCGCATCCTGTCACTTTTTGGTATATTGTACCCCACTGGAGACCTTGAGCCATTCCACCCACCCTGTGCAGAGATTTATCATAGGCTGGCCAGTACTTGTGCTCTCTTCCCATCTTTTCGGAAGATGCTGTGTGCTACCCAGTTGCCTCATAATCTGTTTCATTTTACTGCAGAAAGGGAAATGTCAGTGCTTTTCTTATGCAGAGCTAGTGAATGTGCAGAATGTCCACTGTTTCTGGGTACTGTGTAAGGCTATAGTTGTTCTGCAAATAGAAGTGCAGAGCTCTTGTTTTCATTCAGTGTGAAAAAGCTCTTCTTGAATTTTGCTTTATTTAAATTATTGACTCTCGATATTCAAAAGAACTGAGATGAATCCAGTTACTTTGCCCTAGTTCTAAGTTTAAGTCATGCAGAGATGCTAAGTTTTGTGCCTAAATGTAAGATTATGCCAGAACTAATTTCAGAGGTTTTTAAAACCTTTTGATGAACCTGTGGTGAGTGACAAGTTGAAATGAAACTTGAAACCATGTGTTTAAGATTTTACATTTGAACAACTTAATACTTTAAAAGTGCTGAGAATAGTTAGTTTGGCTGTATTTTCTGCCTTTGTTAATAACAAAATAAACACAAGGACAAATATTTTTCTTTTGAAGAATGTTAACAGCACTTCCATTTATTTTATTTTTTAACAGTTATTTTAAAATTAATTGAAATGGTTTTCCATGGAGTTTTATCAATTGCAAAAAAAAAAAGAACCCAACCCATATGTAAGGTGGAAGATGTTCTGTTGTTTCTCATAGCTCTGGGGGACTTGTTTGTATCACAGATGACTTTTCTTTTGGAGTAAGGGTAGTTTCTAGGCAATGCTTTCTCATGTGTTATTGTAGAAACCAGTATCTTCAGCCTGTGTAGTTCTGAACTGTAAATTTCTTACACTTATTTTTCTAACTGGAAATATTTAGTACCTTTATTCTTGTTTTGTCTACAGAATTAGCTTCAATAGCTTTACTAGTTTTACTTGAGAGAGCATATAATACTTGTCTCTCTCCTTAGTTGGATATGTAGGTAATTTTACCATAGTAAGTTTTTTTTTTAATTGTTGCTCATCTGATGAGTTTCTTGTCTGACATGCTAAGAAACTCTTCTGCCATCCGTGGAGACACTTTTTTTTTAATGCTCTCTACATAACATTTAGAAAATAGGACACTAAAATGGATTTGAATTCTGGTGTTTCCATTTTTTTTTGAAGAACAGTATGCATGTGCGACTTGAATTTGTATTCCTGTGTCCTTTGACACAAGTATGACTTTAGCCTTGCTTCACTTATGACTGGTTTTTTGTCTTGTGGTTTGTGGGTCATTGTCCCCCTCTTCCCCGACACCCCGTCTATTGTAGGCTTAGGCAGATAGCAATAGTAACAGCTTGAAGTTCTCTAAAAATATGCTTTTGATGTTACTGTAATCTTACCTAGCACAGCTATGGTTTTACATTTTTCTGACTTCCTAGAGTACTAGAGCAGAAACATTTGTGTGTATATTTTTTTTTTTTCAAACTACCAGTATAATATTTCCTGTCAATATTCAAGTGTTACAGTATCATAAATTCATTAGGAATCTGTCAATTACTCTTCATGATTGTCTTTATAGTGAACTTAGTTTCAGAATTTTTCTTGATCCTCTTATTTTTTTTGTACACAGTGTATTTCTTTGGAACATGGAGTATTCCAGGTCCCAGGATTTACCAATTTGTTGGAAACTGATTAATAAACTGTAACTGATTGATTTAGAAATTCCGTTTGAAGCTAGGAATGAGGCTGGAGTAAGAAATGGTTTGAAGGCTTTTGGAAGGGTTATCAGAAGGTACCCCTCTGCAAAGTGGCTGTTGGAAGCAAGTCCATTCCCAGAACTCCAATTTTGTTGGTTGGTATCCATGTATTGGTAGAAATCCTCTGTAATATCTTTCCCTTTAGGACTCGATTATGAAAACATGGACTTGAGTATGCTGAGAGATGCTTTATTTAGCCATCTTGAGTTTTTTTTTATGAGTTTCTTTGTTTCACATTTCTCTACTTTTATTTAGTCATTTATATCTACTTTCTGTGGTTTTGTACTATTTTTTCTAGGATAAGTTGGATATCTGACATTATTGTGGTGGTCTCTCCTGAAAATATTGAAACAATGAAGACTATCATTGAAAAGTATGGCCACAAAAGAGTTACAGTAGTAGAAGGTGGAATAACTCGTCACCGGTCAATTTTCAATGGACTGAAAGTATTTGCAGAGAAGGAATTTTCCAGCCATCTGCTCCAGAAACCAGAAGTAGTGATTATCCATGATGCTGTGAGGCCATTTTTAGAAGAAGATATTCTTTCAAAAGTGGTTATGGCTGCTAAAGAACACGGGGTATGTACTATACAGCAATGCAACTCTGCCATGTGCTTTTTACATGTAAAAACAGTGTAAAATCATGACTGATAAATGAGGAATTTTCTAGCAATTGTATTAATGTATGATGTTGTTTTTTTAAGGAGAACAGATCCAGAATCCCTATTAAGCAGAGAGGTCAGGTGGAGGAGGTTGACATTTTTAAATGCTGCAGGCGTTATTTGCTACAGGGAATAATTATTGCCATAGAGACTGTCAGTAAGAGATTGAATTAATCAGCAATTTGTTAGTTGAAAGGTAGATTGCATAATGATAGTTTACTTTTTTTTTCCATACAGAATTATCACCTGATGCAGTTCTGTTAGTGAGTGTATGTGCTGCATTGGTTGACTCTCAAACTTTGTGTTTTCATCTCAAACTTATGCAAACCCTGAATAAGCAGCAAGAGAGCTATCTCTGTAGTAATGCTGAACTGTTCTAGAACTTGTAAATATTACAAACTGCTGGTAAACAGGAGAAGTGGGAAGTCTCCAGCCATAGGTTTGATATTCTCCTGTTCATCACTACATCTGGGGACTGGGATTATTCACAGGAACCAGGAGGATTTCTGAGAAAGTAAGTGATATGTGAAGGGGAAGAGTTGGTAGAAGTTGTATTATGCAAGTAGAAGGGTGGGAAAGGCATTTACTAGCAGCAAGAACTGTTGGATAAACTGGCAAAGTCGGAGATGTGAGAAATCATGACTTAGCCACAGACTTGTTTGTATGATTTGTTATCCTCACTTTGTCCTTGAATTCTCCATTAATAAGATAGCATAATGCTTCCCTGCTTCAAGGAGATGGTTTGAAGTAGAAGCCATTAGTGACAGCAGATTGTTTGGGTACTAGAAATCTAGGAAAATGTACCACTGCTTATCTTTTCCAGAAAATGTGGTAGAAGATAAGCTAATTGACAGGTGATTCACAGCTTTGACATTTGAATAATGAGTCCAAAGAATGAACTGTAGTATTTCCTTAGTGATCCTACACATTTTTTTGAAACCTCCTAGTGTGGAAGGGGAATGTATGGCTTGTTAAAATATTTATTATGAAAATCAAATTATGTAAGGTCTCTCTGAACATTGTTAGAAATCTTAATATATTCAGTCTCTTACAAGTAGGCCTGTACTTTTGTAGATAGGCTTATTAAGAATTGGTAATAAAATAGAAACTGCTCTCTAATTGTCAGTGATCCAGAACATAAGTTTCCAGTCATTAAAACTTAAATTCTGTTAGAATTTTAACAAGGTTTTTGACCTTTCTCATGTAGCACAAAATAACATTCCGGAATTGATTCTTTGCTAGAGACTTTAAAATCAATCCTCTTTGTAAATCAGTTTTAAATGTGATTTTTTGAGAGTGATAGAAGAATGGAGTTAATTGTACTAATGTTGAGTTGAAATGACAATAACTTTCCTGATTGTGTTTGTGTTTAGGTGTCTTTGCATGTTAAGGTATATCATATCTCATTTGAATTTATGTTTAAGTTTTTTAGCTTGTTCACTTTTTTCTTGAAACTTTTGTGATTTCAGTGTAGTATTTTCTTCTGGTTTTCTTTTTAATTGGATGCAAGGCATTTTCAGTAAAACAGTAGGGAACCAAAGCAATCTCCATTGACCTTCTCAAGTCAGTGTACTGTAGTTTATCTGAGCTTCTGACTGGTAAATATTTACTGGTAAATATTTCCTCACCTGGATCACTGAAGTATCATTTGGTCTTGAAAAGGTGGTCTTGTACATGTGCCATTGTATTTTTTTGTGGTGTAATGTCTGTCTGAAATGTGTATGGTATTTATTTACAGAAATGGACTCTGAGAGCTGTGCACTGTTGATGTTACCTGACAAAGTATTTGAGTTAAGGAACATAAGAAGAACTTTATTTTATGTAATGGATTGGAAAAACTTTCTCCCAGAGACAGGTGGCTGTCTTCACTTGACAGCTGCAGAATTCTGAAGAGCTAAATGGAAAGCTGTGACTCTTTCTCAAAACTAATATGCATGGCTTTGAGTATCAGAAAAAAATGGATTGAGAGAAGCTATCATCTGTAGTTCTTCCTATGGTCAGATTCTTTGTATATCTAAAGGGGAGTCAGTTCTTCAATCTTTCAGTACAAAAAGTAATTACTTCCTTTTGCATGATATAGAAAGGTAGAAAACCTGGCAGAAACATGATATTAAATCACTTGTGTTAAGGGTAATGCTGTATTGTTATTCATCTGCATACCATATAGATAGCATAATTATGAGAAGCTTTAATGTTCTTTAAAATGGCAGTTGATCAAGTAAGTTATTGCACTGCTAGCTGCCAATTATCAGGCAAATAAACTGCTTAATTACACTTACTAATCTGTTTGTTATTTGCCTGTAGGAATCAAAATGTGCACCTTAACAAGAACTAATAAATTATGCCTTAAATACCTCAAACAATTCCTTGATTTTGTGAAAATATTATTTTGTAACCAATTAAGTTCCATTTATGTTTTTGGGGTAATTTTGCAATTAAAATTACATGTTTCTAGACACAAATTCTTTATTGCTAGTAAAAGTTGGGAAAAGTGGAAGCTTCAGAAGGCATGAGTCCAAAGCCTCTAGCAATATCTCATTGCCAACATTGCATTTTAAACAACACAACTAAAAAGAAAAATGCTTACAAGAAAAAAATCAGGAAGGCGGGGGGGGAACTTGTCAGTTCTGCTTTGGAGAATTTAAAAAAAAAAGGCACACACAGTCAAAGACTTTCTTTCTCTAGTTAACATAAACTAGATTTGAAAGTATAGTTTATTATTTCAAAAGGACTAAGTCAAAATGGCACTCTTAAAAGCTGCTTTCTGGAAACTGTCTAACATCATTACTTTATTCTAAGCTTTAGCAAGGGTATGAACAAAGCTTACATGCCAGTACAGCTGTACAGTGGTACTCAGTCTCATGGACTCTCACATAGGCAGTCAGTCAAAATAATACCCCCAGACAGAAAACACTGCATTATGCTCAGTCTGTTCCTGTCAGTGCTGCCGTTATCAGTCTCACTGCAGCAGGAGGCTGGAGCAGGAAACACACACTCCTGTGGATGCTGTTCTTTTCAGCCAGTTACAGAAGACATTTTATTTTGCTGTCTATGATTGTTGAGTTACAATAGCAAAACTCGGTGGGTGGCAAACTGAAAAACACCTGTTTTTCTCCACTGAAGTTGAAGGAGGACTTGGATGGATAAATAAGATGATCTGGTTGGTGCACTTGAATGGGGATGGAATGCTGGAGCAGTTCTGACCGTTTTGACCTTTCTTTGTACTTTTTCTGTTGAAAGTGATTGTCTTTTTATGTTTCCTTATTTCCTCTGGTTTTGTCACATATAGAATATTTTAAACATTGTTTTCTTTATTTGTTATACTCAAAAACTGATTTTATTCAGCTGCAAAGACTGTATCATATTTATACCCTGGGTCATCTGAAGTCATCCACTACCTGTGTTCTCAGAAGTTATACTTCCATTGTATGCTTGGTGCTTTGGGAGGCTCAGACCCATATGCAAAAACAGAATCAAGAACTGAAGATGTTACAATTACCATCTTGACATGATTTTTATTTCACTGATGGAATGAGTTCTGTAGTTTAGGAGACTGACTGATGTCAATGTAAAAATACTTACTAGTGAATAGTAGGGATTATGAAGCAATTTTAGAATAAAACATTTTAAGACCTACATGCTCTTAGCTATGGTAAAGCTCATGTAGGACAGGCAGGTGATTTGAGAAAGCTGTCATGGCTTCACCAGGGGCAGGTCCTGCCTGACCAACCTAGGGGCCTTCTATGGTGGAGTGACTATATCAGTGGATGAGAGAAGAGCTATGGATGTTGCCTGTCTGGACTTCTCTAAGGCCTTTGAGGCACTCCTCCACACTATCCTTCTCTCTAAATTGGAGAGAGAAGGATTTGATGGATGGACTGCTCAGTGGATGAGGAATTGCTTGGTTGGTTGCATCCAGAGGGTTGTGGTTAACAGCTCAACATCCAGGTGGAGAGTGGTGACAAGTGGTATCCCTCAGGGGTCTGTATTGGGACCAATATTCTTTAATACCTTCACAGACAGTGAGAGCAAGTGCACTCTCAGCAAATTTATAGATGACAGCAAGGTGAGTGGTGCAGTTGACATGCCTGAGGGGTGGGATGCCACGCAGAGGGACCTGGACAAGTTCGAGAAGTGGGCCTTTGTGAACTCTGATGTTCAACATGGCCAAGTGCAAGGTCCTGCACCTCAACTGTGACAGTCCCCGGTATCAATACAGGCTCTGGGAAAAAGGGATTGAGAGAACCCTTTGGAAAAGGACTTGGGTGTACTTGTGGGTGTTGTCAGCTGGCCCTGAGCTGACAGTATGCACTTGGAGCCGGGAGAGGTGTGGCCAACAGGTCGAGGGAGGTGATTGTGCCCCTCTACTTCACTCTCATGAGACCCCACCTGGAGTACTGCTTCCAGCACTGGGGCCCTCAGCACAAGACATGGACTTGTTGAAGTGGGTCCAGTAGAGGGCCACAAAAATGATCAGATGAACACCTCTCATATGAAGAAAGGCTGAGAGAGCTGGAGTCATTTAGCCTGGACAAGAGAAAGCTCTGGGGAGACCTTATTGTGGCCTTTTGGTACCTACAGGGGGCTCATTTACAAGATGGTGACAAACTTTTAAATGGGGTCTATTGAAATAGGAGAAGTAGTAATGATTTTAAACTAAAAAAGGGTAGATTCAGACTAGATATAGAAATTTTTTACAATGGCAATGGTGAAACAATGGAACAGGTTTCCCAAAGAGATGGGAAATGCCCCATCGCTAGAAACATTCAAGGTCAGGTTCGACAGTGCTCTGAGCAACCTGATGTTGTTGAAGATGTCCCTGCTCATTGCAATGGGATTGGACTACCTGACCTTTAAAGGTCCCTTCCAACCCAAACTATTCTATGATTCTACATTATTGTGAAGATCAGAAGCTCT